ATATTGATTTTGACAAAGCTATCGAGCGTTCTGGGTTGCATTTGAAATGAATATTTATATGCGTTTTTTCAGTAAATCCTTCACAATTTTAAAGTGAAAATGCAGTTCGAAACGCCTCCGTGAAATTCTCTTTCTTTTAAAATCTCATTTATAAATATTGGCTGTCACAAAAGGTATGTATTTTGAGAGTCACAAAAGGTATGTATACAACAGAAATAATATAGGAAACGATAATCAGTTAAGAGATAACAGTTCTGAATAAACGTTTCAATAAGAGACCCTCTTGGTCTCTAATCACCCTCTTGGTATTGAAATAAGGACATAAAGTTAAATTAAATCATATTCCTTTTGGTTTTGATATGAGTAAATGTTATAACTCATGGTCACAAAGAAATCTAATTTATTTCACAAATACAATAATACTACTACTAATAATAATATAATAAACTTAATAATACAATTAATAATAACAATATTAATAATTATTATTATAATCAGTATTTCGCAGCCTCAACATCTACCGTCCTGAAGCTCTCTATAAATAAACTGGGAATCGAAACGAACATTATCATCAATCTGCAGAAAGCTACGATCCTGAAAACGTGTTCTTTACTCAGAAGATTTATGGGTTCCTAAATAAATTAATGAATTATTTTATGTTTGTTATAAATTAATTTAAGTATTTAAATTCATATTTGTAAAATTGTTTGCCTTATATTTATTTTAAGAACTAATTAAATGTTTGTTAGAAGTATTGTACTACGGAAATCATGCTTTGATAGTAATATCTATCTGTGACTGCTAAAACATGTGCCAGAAATCTGTGAATAATAATAACAATAATAATAATAATAATAATAATAATAATAATAATAATACTTGCTAGAACATTCAGTAGTACGAAATGATCTATAAATTAAATTTCAGGCGCGTTTCTCTGACCCTAAACACTTTCTTGGTAGGACATAAAAAAACGATGTTGAAAGATTAAAATTCATTCAGTTTAAGTTGAATAATAGTAGTTTATGCAATTAGTTTATAGTATTATGCCTTATTGCATAAGTATTTATTTTTAAACCGCGCGATTTTACGAGCGAGCTTTCAAATTTGTAAGAATTCAATTAAGCAACATTATAAACGAGTTGCATACTGTGTTTTTTGTATAACAACATTGTAAATTTATAAGACAACCAATTTATTTTGCAACTTTCTTATGATGTCTCGAGTATTGGACATCTGTTCGAGAAAACGGTGGTCGGCTGTTCCGTTTACAGCCACCTCCCCGCCATACTCTCGCTGCGATTGGCTGAATATGTGATGACGTCATCATTTGTCACGTAAAATGCTCCTTTATGAACGGTTTGTTTGGAAGAGAAAATGGTGTTTCTAATGCTGGCATACAAAAAGGCTTTTAAACAGCAATATTCTTACACAAGTGGCTGAGGTAGAAGAAGGTGATCAATGGCGCCATGCTGGTCATGTCTATGCACAACCACACGATGGCTGCGATTGGCACGAACGCATCCACCAGCGCGACGGACATCCACGCGTACAGGTAGTGCAGTTTGGTCTGCAATGAGATATGTATTCATTGTTATAGCAGTTTTGTACCTCCTACATTTTTGAAAAGTTTGTTTTTTTCAGGCTGCTTCGAAGTTGTGATAGTGTTAGTGATTATATAAAAGACAATGACACTAGTTAATATGTAATACACGCATGCCAATACGTATTATTCTCTTAGAATTTTTGGAAAGCAATGGTTATTTACACACCAAGGACGCTATGTGTTTCATATATCCCTGCCACAATTTCCTCTCATAATTACGTTGGCAACAGAACATGTTGCATCATTCAACTGTTTTCGTAACCACGATCCTCTCCATCCCGGTAACGTCATGCAGTGTATATTGAGCTCCGTATCAGAGGTAATAACACAGTATACATATCATACAATAGCACAGCTCAGCCCTTTTTTATGTTTAGCGAGGGAAGTGCGCGCATACAGCTAGCGATCCTGGTAGAGACAAAGTAAAACTGGTAAAATCCTGGTAGAGACAAAGTAGGCATAGCGGAAGTCAACTCCATCTGGATTTAACGCCCCACACCCTTTGAAGTCGACGCCGTTTTCCTTTTGAGAGGGCTCTACTGATGTACGCTGATTTGTTTGTGAATTTATTGATTGCATTTTTAAGTATTGATTAAGCATTTAAAATATAAATTGTGTTATTTATTGATCTTTTCTTGATCTTGATCTAGAATATCAGCCTCACTTTGAGTGAAACAAAAATTGCTTCACATGTACCAGAAATAAGTGTGGGAGAATTAAATATGGATTTAGCAGAAATGAATGACAAACAGTATTTTTTACTTTTTTATTAAAAAAAGTTGGGTCGAACGGAGCCTAGATGAATACATGATAAAAGAAGTTTATTGCATCGAAAATGACTTCAAACTTATATGTGTGTACTGCTAGTTTAAACAAATTCGTTATTGGCAGAATTTGGAAAATTAATTGCTTATTAAAATATTGCTCAGCTACTTCACAAACTCTCAGAAATCAATTTTGTGACTGGTTGTTGTAATGTGAAGAAGAGTTCTGAAAACGTTTGTGAAAAAAGAAAACCTTTTTATTGAAGAATACTAACAAAGAATTACTTCAGCAAGAAAAAATCAAGACATATTCAAATTCCAGCATTTTGGATGCTAATATTTCATTACTAAGAAGAAAATTATTAGTAGTACTCCTAAATAAAATGTGAATATTGAGCGTCACCCTGGTTTTTATTTGCCCCACTAGATAAAAACTTTCTTCTCTTCCATCTTCATTTATTCAGAACTTCTTTTTTAATTTTGTAATTTCCGTACGATTGAGATTTGCGGTTTCTAGACATATTACAAAATCTATAAAAGTATGTAAATACTTTTTTAAATAGTTACAAACTTACATGACCTGTTGAAAATTAAGTTATGTTCAAGAGTAATTAAAATATTTTAAAATTTCCTTAAGTCATTTTTATAAGAAGGGAGCTGTATTAGGAATGTAGTGTGGAATGTAATCGGCCTAGTATTCCTTTGTCGCTCCGCGGAATGTCAGTCGCCGTTCAACACGTCGTCATAGGGCAGTAAACTCGGACCTGCGCTACTGTATGATACATTTACTGTGGTAGTAAGAAGCAATAACGGATCAATAAAAACTAAATACATTTTACTTTCGACACATGTAGAGGAGATAAAGTGCTGAAATGCGACAGTAAAATGTATCAATATTTCGATACAAAACAATTTTTTGTGGGTCATTGGCACAAGCATTTTGAAAAGAAAATCAGAATATCGAAAATTGCAAATTTTAATCCACCTCCATTCTTTTGCTGAATGAATATTATAATTACGTAACCGTTACAAATTAGACGCGAAAATATGTGGCGTTCTAGCTCGATTAATTTCAAGTTGTTCTATTCTTGTAATAAGTATAAATCTATTTCTTACTGGGTACTTTCCGATGCAGACAAGGCAAAGTATCATTACGTAATATTGCGAAAAATCGTTGCCAATATTTCTACGGAAATGCATGTTTTAAGGACCCAAAAATGTGGAAATTGATTTTTCAAAATGTCAGTTTCTCTTTCATGCGCCCGCCCGCCCGCTCGACATGTACCACATTCAAAATAATGCAAGCTTATAAAACAATTTTCCCTTGCTGGCTGGATATAGGTCATGTGTGAACCACACGTACTACACTGATGGTCTGTAGAGAAATTGGTAGCGAGAAATGAAGAGGTAAGTGAGGGTGTACTTACAGTCATGACTCCGAAGATCAAGATGATGTTTGACATTGCTACAAAAACGTCAACTCCTATGAGTAAGCCATATGGACGACCAGGTTTTAAACCGTAGTTATCATATCTCCAGACCTCAGTGGGAGTCGACTGAGTGACCAAAAACGTAACTTCACATAACAAGAGTACCTGTGAAAAACAAAAATGTTTCAATCAGTAGAATTGTTTATTTCAATGTACACCATTATATTAAAACAACAAGCAGCAATTCACACGATTGGGAAAAGATAGAACGTGTTCGTTAAATGGTACTGGTTTTTCTTTACAGCGAAGGAATTGTATTCTTAGGAAATTGCGGCCAACTTTCAGTATTGGTTTAACTCTCGGTTGTAAAATATTTTCATTTTTTGCTGGTATTCAAAAGATCGAATTTTCTCGAAAACTTACACAAATCTATTTTTATATGTATCTCAAGACATTAATATTTAAAGGTTTTTTATACTTAATTAGATTTCTAAGTATAAATGCTTCAAATCGGTCGACAACGTTTCTAAAAAACTTACAGCTTCTTTTGTAAAAATGAACTCTCACTTACGCATATTCAGGAACGTTTACTCAAAAGAAGAACCACGTTTTTTGTTTTAAAACTTTTTTATTGATCGATCTACATTGCCTCTTTACATCAAAATTGAGTTCCAGTAATGTTAATTTTCTATTAAAAAAATACACTAATAAACTTTTTAAAAGTGTATATCGCGTCGTTACAACTTACTTTAAGAAGGTTTTAATTCATTATTATATTTGTGAATAGAAATGCTACAAATTATTTCCAATGAATTTTCTCGAAAACTCTATAGTCTTGGGTAAAAAGTGCGTGTTGTGAGAATCGCTCAAAAGTCATTTTGTGAAAAACTGATCAAAATTTATCACCAAAAATTTGCATTCAAGACCAAATTCCACTCTTCTGTAATATTCTGTAAGTAATATTTTAATTCTTAAATTAAGGGAACGAAAAATTCAGAAAAGGTGAAACAACGTAGTTTTGACCAGCCCCGAATAAAGGGATTAGAATTATTACTAATACGAGAGGGTCTCTACCTTTCTATAGCATCACTGTTTGAGATTGTTAATCATCTTGATTTTTGTTTCATAGTGACAAATTTTATATAATTTGATTATTGTGAATAATTTGACATTAAATACATATTTTTTGATTTGATATTATGACAAACACTGTTGTTTCGAGGAGTAATGTTGCAAGTTATTTGTGTGAAACGTATTATTGACGGTGGTTTTCACTTGTATTCTGGAATGTGTAGGCATGTTCTATTAGTATCACGATAGTTCTTGTTTGAATGAAGAGCGTTGAAGATAAGGTTTCTCGATTCTCTACTACAACAACATTATTGAGGATTAATTTTTGAGGATTGATATACATATGTGTATATACACGTACATAGGTCAATATGCAAAGGATAGTGACATTTATATAATGCTGCGGAAAATCTACTTCGGGATTTTAATGGAAATACGAGTTTCGGGGCAACTGATACCGAAAATTTTCTTTCTAAAACTTCCAGCCGTTTGTTCATGTCTAAAGAACACTATCGACTAAACTATTCGAAGGATTTTTCCAATAATTCCAGGTCGATCTGTTCCGACTGAAAGCCCTGGTATTTTGAAAAGAATGCTTTAAATTTTAGGGGTTCATGAATCTCAAGTGATATTTTCGAAATTCTGTCAACAATTACTCCAAACTTTTTCTGTACATCTCTTGTAAGAGGAAAATTAAATGCACTTATATCATAATCTGAAAGTTACTATTTACTCTCAAAGTTTAAACATTGTTTAAGTTTGAATTTTTTTAAATTTCTCATACAACTACCTTTTAAAGTATTTTTTCTTCAAATACCATTTGTTCGCTCTACTAGTTCACTTGAAAACTACTTTCATTTATGAACTAATATTGAAATGCTGAGACAAGAAATCACGTATTTACGACAGAATCACTCGTATTGTGGGTCACTGATACAAAAATCTGGATAACCCTTGCTTTAACATGTAAGTTAATTCCTCAACGTTCCTCCGATGTCGCCCAGGGTCTCAGTGGTGTAGGTGATGCTACAAAACCTACCCCAGTAAGTACTGAGAAGCCCTCCCGTAATGGGATCGCAATCCTATGGCCGCAATAGCCACCTGTAATGGGTTTGCCTTGCGTGGCCGACGAGTCCACTCTCACCTCCCCGCGGTGCCCCCTGGTAATGCATCTCGGGGCAACTGGAGGTGCAGCCAAGAGGGATGGGCGATAGGCGAGTGTCCGGCGCCTTAAAACGGGATCATCTATTAAGGGAAGGAAATTCCTGACAGAAAAACCTTCTCGGGGACCCCACGTCACGGGGGAAGGGGGTCGAGGGTCTGCAGCTCACCCCGTCGTGCTCCTCGGAGCGACTGGCAGCGGACACTGTTAACAGAGCCTCGGACGCGGGTGCGCATGGTGGCGCCCCCGTGAACAACAGGCCAACTTTTATGACGACCCTTGCTTGTAACGGTTCATGATTGGGGTTCCCTTCGAGGCGACTCGCTGCGCACATTGGGTCTAGAAAGGAGGGGGTGGCTACATGGCTACTGATTTGAATAACATGGTTCGGCATCACGATACTATCCATAGTAACATCCCACTAATCTTTTCATGCTCCAAATGCAGCAAGAATTACAAAGGTAAGCTATCAGCTTTGAGTCATTTCCCAAAGTGCCCGGGTCCGAAAGTACATAAAGGAGACTTAATATGATAGTTATGCTCCGCCAACTTCACAACCAAATCAGAGCTCCCACAACATTGGCACAATGTTTTTCCTGACGCAAGTAATAGAGCTTAAACTGCCAAGACGCATCGTAGTGCTTGGACTGCTGAGCGTAGAGCAGGGAAAGTATTCTCTTCGAAGGAAATTATGAAAATGGCTGCATTGGAGAAAGGGCAATCAGAGAAGTCGGACAAGAATTTGGCCGCTGTACTGGGAGAAAAGATAAGAGACTACATATGGAAGATATTTGGCTGCCATTGAAGCTGAAGTTACCGTCTCTGCAGAGTCATCTTCGTCCCCATCTGATGGTCGGTGGTCCGATGATTTATCTAGACCTTCTACTAGTGCTGCTGTTTTCTCATCGCCTTGCAGGGTCATTAGACCCCGACGACTCCACTAAGCCAAATCCCTATGCTGGTTTCTTCTTCTCCCTTGTATTGAAGGCGTAGGACAGGAAGAAAGCCGATGATCCACTGCTTTGACACTTGTCCAAAGGGGGGCGGAAGAGGGAGATCCCATTACGGGTCTTTACAGGTGAAGCTAAGCAAACAGACTTATACCGATTCCTTTCCAAAGCCTCGGCTCTTAGGCAGTGGCCCTGAGGAGCTTGCAATGGTGGACATTCCCTCCCCGGAAGCAGATAGGGGGCGATTCCCTAACGAGGAGGCCGTTATAGTTCAGAGATGAATTAGGAGCTTTCGGCTGGGCCTGTCCTCTTTGATTCTGTTTTATCTGCTATTGACATGGCCCGTTCCGACACCGCTGGTCATGTACAGTGACCAATTTTTCCATTTTTACGTGAAATATAAGGGATTTTTAATTTTTGTTTAAACAGTTTTTTCCTTAAACGGCTTCTTCTTCACTCATGAAATTTTGTTGGTAGATAGACCGAAGTCCGTTTAAGAAAATGGTGCATATCTCTCTTTGTTTGAAAACCCTGATTTTTCGAAAATTGAAAACGTTCAATATTTTTCGGCATCTTCCTACAACTACAGTTATGGTGATACACTATTTTCGTAATGAAAGTGTTTATCAAAAACAGATTTTCAAGGAAGGTCATGATTAAGTATCTGAAAATATGACTATTTTTGCATTTACTGAGTTGCTCGCTCTGAAACTCCTGCACTTCCTTATCGTAATTTTGATTTGGGGCAGTGAGGTAAGTTAGATTGTGTATATTGTTTCATATACCTTTGTTCGTTTCTTACATTCTTTCAGAGCCTTTGTTATGTGTTTACAAATTAATCTTTTAGAAATTATTTGAAACCTATTTGAAATTAATTTGAAATAAAGATTACCTTCAGTCGCTCGCTCCCTATTTACGCAGTTGGATGCTACGAAAGTTAATATTTAATATTAATGACGTGAGATGTATTTAAAAAAAACATTGGTGTAAGTTTAAAAAAATCAAAGAATATCTCCAAAAGTCGTTAATCCCTTGTTATTCAATGCATCTACCATTATCCGTATCGAAAGTTTTTACAAAAATGTGCGTTTTTTGATAAAATCCTTTGAAAAAATTACTTAGGCTAAAAATTAAGGGTAATTTTGCGTGAAATAAACTATACACATTTTAAAGAATTCGAAGTCCTACAATGCGAATTATTGTACCTAAGAGTGTCATTTTCGTTGCAGCGTTGCTAAACTTTCTGTGCATTATGTATGCAGTATGGGATAAAGTCGTGATGTTTGAAGGACGGAAGATTTCAAAAAAAAAAAAAAGTGTAAGGATACTATTTAATGTGTACTGCTACTACATCTACCGGCGAAAAGACCTGGCAATGGGCTGCTTCGTGTTTGCGGGTGCGATCTAACGGACGCTGCAGAAACTAATAAGACTCTGTAAGTGCATCGTCAGAAATTATAGCTTTGACACCGGTGCAGCTAAATAGTTATTTATGATACAAGTAGCTAACTAATAGTTCTACAGAATGGCATAGACTTTAAAATATTGGGCGACGATGTTGTTTAAATTTGTAATTAGAATTAAATAAATAAAATATTTTGACGGGTATATATGTGTATAATATATAAAGAAACGAAGAAGTTAATATGTAAACCGCAAATACACTGCAAAAGATATTGAGAGTGAAATGAAAGAGAGAGAGAGAGAGAGACAGAGAGCGAGAGAGAAAGAGAAATGAAGAAAAAGAAAGGGAAATGTGACGACAAAGGAATAAAGTGCTAGGTGGAGAAAGCAACCGAAAGAGTGTGTGGGACGGAGAAAGAAAGAAATAGGAAAAGAGTGAAGAATGAAGAAAAGGAGAGAGAGAGAATGTGGATGTAATGGTGAAAGGGAGAAAAACGTATTTGTGGACCTGGGACAGCATATTGGAGAATGAGTATTTTAGAATGGAAAGAAGGAACGTGTGGAATAATAAAAGCAAA